TAGGTAAGTGGTACTTTGGAGGCAAGAGCCGCTCAAGGAAAGCATCTGCATTTGCATTATAAAGAGATGGGGACCCCATTGACACCCGTAGTTTCTAGCCCAAGTTCCAACGGTGAGAAACGAACTGGTGATCACCATTTGCTCGACTTTCTGATATCCGCTGTTTGAGCCCCTGTTTTCTGATTATCCGTACAGTTGATCCATAGAGCTCTTCTCACATAGACATAAATACTATCTTTTATTGATTTGATTCTACTGAATCTGAATTCCGTACGCATTTCGTATGTCGGCGACATTATAGCATAGAAAAATATTGAGCTCTGCTGGTTTACGCTGCAGACCAACAACGTGGCCGAAGCACACGTTCGCGTGTGCATGGAGTGTAAGGTGGGTGTTCATAAGCAGACTGCTTTTCGAAAGACCTCAGAACGGCTCTCCAGAATGAGTCGAACTCAGCACCTATTTCTACATGAAGTACGATCGGTGCGACCGCTTGCAGGACCAAGTCAATAAGCTAAGCAACTGTTGACTCCGTGCAAGCCCCATTGCACTTGACCGTCGAAACTGCGTAATTGTGAGCTTTTAGTATATAGAAAATCGTAGTACTAACATATGAACTGCAACATGCGTAGACTCGGGTGACGGAAGATCGCAAACGGGATCGACTGCTGTACTACGGCTGTTAAACGGGCGAGCGAACCGCACAACAATCGGATGCACCTGTGCTTTCCAAGGCGCTCTTTGTTCTGTATCTGGATAACTAACTAACGGGGGCGTCTTCTGGCTGGGTATTTTGCGGTTGTCTGTTGATACACACTGCCGCCTACCTGTCTGTACTTTGAGTCTAGAAACGCATACGCACGTACAGACACTCTTCGCGCAGTCCTCCCTATACAAGCATCTCCACGGAGACCAGAGTCGTCAGCAGCAGCAGCAGCGGCGGCGGCGGCAGGAGCAGTGGCAGTGGCATTGATGGCACCCCCGAATTTCCTGGGGGTGCCCGGTCGACCCAATCGCGACGGTGAATCCGAATCCGGGCACTTGTCTCCGGCCAGCAGCAGCTAATAACAACAACGGGCGGACTCATCTTCTCGCATCTACGGCGTCAACCCCCAGCGGCGGCAGCAAAGGCAGTCGGTTTTCTATCAGCGGACATCGGCACCAATAGCCCGCCATGTGGCGGCCCACAGGTGAACTCACACCGCGGTGGAATTCCTCGACGGCGCTTCAAGACAAAACTTTGAAAGGGCGCAACGGATGACAACGATCCGACGGTCGAGTTCGTTTTTTCGTCACATAAAACTCATTGTTCAAAGTTAAATATTTTTGGAAGCGTTCGAATGTAACGCTTTTCACAGTGGAATTATGCATAGATTGGGTTTCGTAACTATCCATCAAAGGCAAGTCGCGAACACCTTTGTTTGGCAAGCGTTTTATTAGAGAGGTGCATATTCTTTGGGCGTCTTTCAACAGCTCCCTCAATGCCAGCGAAAGCTAGTTAACTGTGATTGCCGTTGTACTATCGACGGAGTTCAGGCACTCGGGGGTTCAGGTGGTGGTGCCAAGCTGGCTGCGAGGTCCGCTTTTGTTTATATTTGATGAACCCCCGTCGAGCCGAAAATAGATGAACAGATGAGAAGCGTTCAACGGACTACGTACATAACAAGAAAAGGAATCCCCAAACTGACGGCTGTGCCAGGGATTCTATGAGCTATTCGGCTCGTCTGTCTCGGTCGAAGCTCCTCTAATAATGCCGCAGTAGGATCCATAAGAGATCTATTAGTGAATCTAAAAGGAAGCCCTTTCAATGAGGCCAAATTTCATTTAGTTTTCAAATTGTAACACTTTAATTGTTTCGGTCGCTATTAAGTAGTAAGGAGAATTACGATCACTTAATTTCAATGGCAACACCTGTGGTTCAAGGTTTTTGAAGCCGCTAAATACGGTGTCAGTCCAAGATTCTACATGCTAAAGTACATACGTAGTTAAAAAAAGACAGAGAATATCGCCTTTCATCTTTCTCCAGAGCGAACATCTCGTAAGCGTCAGCGTCTCTAAGATATTTGGTTGTTTATCTGCGATTACTTAGATGTCTTTTTTTTATAGCAAACAATCGCTATCTACTGCGAAATAATAGTAATGTCGTACTAGCGGAATAAGGAAACAGTCTATATTGTAGACGTTATATAGTCCGCTCAAAGAACGGTGGGTACCCCTCGCGTCATCTGATAACGATAAAACATTGATAAATATTACATCGAAAGAGCTGATTCTTACGTCTGTATTTTTTAAACAGCGAGGAAGATAAACTGGTGGTAGATGTTCCATGACAGCGCTGTGTGCGTGATCAGCCACGTTACTTCAACGAACATCTTCGATTTTTGGCACACGTTAGTATTTCTATTTTTTTTTTGTTTTTTTTTTTATACATTAGGATCTACAGGTTAGGCCGTTCGGTGGCGTCCGTGTCGTTTGCGGAGGCTGACAGGTTGAACTGTTTTGAGCTCGAACTTCAGTCACTTCTTCGATCTGGCTGTTCCAATCGCCGAGATGCATTTCTTCACGAACTATATGTTTGCACTTATTGAATTGATCGTTAACCATCATTCAATAAACGGACGTCACTTCACCGTTTTGTGCAGGCTTAACGTCTGGCCGAACTGCCGAAAAGCTTCACAGGGAAAGGCAACAACAATAAACATCTGTTATTTTGTTGTCTGTTGTTTCGCTACTCGATACGCACCTCCACTAATAAAGACACCAGCTGACCAGGATCTGGCTTAACCATAACATAGGCATTTTTAAAGCGCTCGAACAGTTTTTATTAATAATATTATCACTAACGTCGTTAGTATCATCGTGTGATAATGAAGCATTATAATAAGACCCTAATTTTCTGGCGAGAGGTGTTCTTTGCGCTCCTCTTATCGTTCGCTGATTGTTGCCAGTCTTCCCGATTGAACCGTCATTCGGAAAACTTATGTTCCTGGCTCTTTGCCAAGGTTGTCTAGTACGCAATTGTCATTCATTGCCGGTCTGCATTGCGCTGTACAAGGAAAAGGCGTGTCGTCGAAACAGGCAAGCTATTATCATAGATCCAGTTCGCGATTACTACGCTAGGGCTAAACGTGTCAACTCAGGTGAACTGGAGCCTTCAGGAAAGCACGCGCCGGCGGCGTATGCTTCCTGAAGGCACACTTTGTCTGTTGTTGTCCTTCAGTTCGAACGACAACAGTAATATAATTAATGTTTCGCGGCTATTGTGCCGTTGCTATAGCAGCCATTGTGCTATATATATATATATATATATATATATATATATAGCTACGTTCTTGTCGGCGATAAACGGCAATCCGGAGATCACTTGGGATCACTGTTGTTACTATGGGTATTTTTGCTCTGTGATGTTGCGGGCGCAGCGATGCGAATGAATAATGTGTTGGAAATTCTCAATAGGCGCTTGTTGAAGCGATCTCACTTATCAGCTGTAAATTTTTCAGACATCATCTAGGCTTTAGTGACTCTCTAGTACAATCTTAATTTTGCTGCAGGCATCTGATAAGCATCGTCTGAACAAGGCTTCGTTTAACATGTGTTAGATCATTCGATTCTGTGAGAAGTTTAAATCATTCGTTTTAGGAATGGAACCGTTTCACACCGTGTATTCACTGTGAAGGGATATGTCACACGGTAGAATTTTGAATTTGTTTTTGATTTAGCTAACGTGAGGACAAAGGGGAGTGGGAAGAAGCACATTCTATATGCTTGCACCGGACGAGAAGCGGCCCAGCGCCATAGGCAGCGTTCCGTCGGATTTACTGTTCGTTTGATACCTCGGTTACATTTGACTCTGCATTTTCCGGTTCCTTCAGTTGCTGTGCTCGGTATCTCTGTTGCCGATGGATAAGGGCGGTTAAGGCACTAAATTTGTGCGATTTCTCGGTAACTCATGATCGAGGTCTTTGCTAATTGACATCAGTTTAGTAGCTGCAAGCGATCGCCGGGCAGAACTGCGATAGCTTAGCAGCTCTGACAGCTAGGACGGCCAGAACAGTTAAGCGTGCAACGAGAGCGCCTAGGTCGGGTGACGATATAATGTCGCTCGAACGCCGAATCTTCCGCGTCCGCCGATTTGAGCGCATCGAAGGCGGCAGTAGACGCGGCGGGCCGTCAACCTCACTATAGCAGTTTGCTTGTAGCTGTACATGACGTGCCACAGTCGAAAAAGGCCCGCACCTCAAGTCCTATTCGAATCAGATCTAAATAATCGTCAATCGCCACGGCTAATGCCAATCGCTTTGTTCTTTCTGGGTAGCTTCTGCCTAACAAATCCTTTAGGCTTCCCCTACCTACGGACGGACACTTTGGAGCAACAGCGTCAGTCAGCATGGGTTTTCGGTATTCGGTTCTTGGCCCTTGGTTAGCGTCTCTTCGGATAGGATGAGAGCCAGCTGTGTTAAGCCGTCCGTGTCATTTGTGAAGATCACGTTCTGCGAAACAATCAAGCCGAAGACAACGACCGGCAGATGACGCTACGGTCTCACACATATACCGAAACAGTTCGCCAAAGAATTTTTTAGTACAGTCTACCGCAATGGCGTATGCATGTCAGAGTTCGAAGCTCCGAGTGACACTTAGAGGAGCAGAGTTTCGCTTCAATGTGTGTTTTTCCAGGAAATTATTCCACACTCAGGCTGAAGTCGATTAGAAGCTGGAAACTTCGTGCCGCTCAAAGCATTCTGGATGACCGATTGTTAATCTTAATAAATGTGATATTAGCGCATAATTGACTGTTAGAAACAGAATGGGGTGGCTGTAGGATATGTTGCGCTAAGGAGACGTCGTCTTCAAATACGACGGTGAATTAGACACAATATCTAAAGGAGAACGAAGGATTCACGCGTGACACAATCTTGTGTTGTGGCCTTCTATGACCAAGCGATGCTGTTATGAGCACACAGGCGGAATATAGAAAAAGCTATATATATATAAGTTTCTAGCATTGCAAACATTTTGCGCTCTCGTTTTTTGAGTACAACCTAGTAAATCCTTAGCTGCTCCCATGGAAACAATTAAGCTGACCGGCTTTAGCGCTCCAGAATAGTTGTTACTTGCAATAACGGACCGAAGATCGAGAGTACATTTCCTAAATACTGGTAATAAGTGACGCCGGACAAATAAAGCGCTTCGGGACCATTTGAAATGATCAAGTCACGTACTTAACTAGATATGTATCCTTCAACTATATCATATATACTCCTGAAACACTAGGATAGCAGCATAGCGAATGCCCTAACGCAGTAGAAGTTGAAATCGTACCGAAAACATAGGCAAATTATATACGCCCCGTTGTGTGAGTCGCACGCTCGAAGTATTTCAAGGCGTGTTTTCACTTAGGTGCCTTTCCACAGTGACCCTCGGCACTCCCCTCATGTTCGTGGTTTTACTCTAAGCAGGCACACAGAGGCAGGCCGTTCCAGAGCGTAACTGTGTGTGGATCGCGCTACTGATCAGGTGCACACACCTCCTCGCCCTTAAGCACCTGAAGCACCTGTTCAGCTTTTTCACGAGACCCAAGACGCTGTGGCTTCAGGATCAACGACGTCCCGCACATCCAGTTAGTTCGGCTTCACTCCCCCGCGAGAGCACCTCGTAGCTGCGATGCCACCTCGGTAACTAGAGAAGAGATCCACTTCCCTCTCCGACTCGAAGGGCGGATATATTCAATCGAGGCATATATGACAGCTGCAGTTGTACCTCGTCAGTCGAGTATTTGGTTGTAGTAGGACCAGCAGTCAGTTCATTCGTGCCTGCATATGGTAAACAAGCCAAACTGTGTCGCAGTTCGCACAGGGATTACATGACGTGTTCGTCGTACGGCGATTATCAGCGCATCTATATTGATAAATTGACGTTTAAACAATGGCAATGTTGGCATACATCTGTCGAATAATGATTCTCTTCTCCTACGTAGCAGCCTTACATTGCTACGTTACTGGATCACGAGAGACGGCACAAGCGCCTCAAAATGAAGTCAGCGCCCACATCAAGGTTCGTAGCATTACAAATTTTCTCCGCTCGATGCAGAAGCTAGGTGTACGTACGAACAGCAAAGGAAACATGCAGTTTTCTTCTACGGGGTGCAAAAATGATGACCGTATCTGTGCAGACAACGCGTACAGCGAGTGGACTAAATGGTCAAAATGCACGCGTAAATGTCGACAGCGGAGACATCGTCGGTGTCCTTCTACAGCGTTGCCTAATTGCAAGGACGAAAAGCAAACTCGACCATGTGTGAGCGACAAATGCAGAGCACCCATAACCATCCCCGACGAGAAGCGCTCGTCAAATAAAACAACCGCCAGCACCAAAGACTTTAAGGTGCTGTACGAGCTTCAAAAGTATGTCTACACTACATGGACCGACTGGACGCCATGTTCAAAGAATTGCCACACTCGCCGATATCGAAATTGCGTTATGCCTATTCTGTGCGGACACAGCGTTCAGCATGAGGACGCACTTTGCTACGCTGAAGGATCTTCGTGTGAGATGCTCGCTAAGCCTCAAGCCGGCGCAATTGAACTAGGTAAGTTGGAATGGAGAACTTGCTTGCTTTAAACCCATCGATCCACATAAACGAACTGTGATCCTTTTATTGCTATTATCGGTAAAATCGGCATTTATCGGTCAATATTTCAAATTCGGATCACGCATCTCAACATAGCACAAATTTGCGGTATAAATCCAGAAGGGCGACAACTGGCCGTAGTGTTGTCCACAGCAATACTTTCTTCTACTGTGACCGACTAGAAACACTGCATCTTTATGATATTTTATACAACATAATCCATAACAGTATATAAATTTCTGTCCGTTTTTTTTTACACAGATCTCCAAATGATCCCACAAGCCGGTGTCGACCCTACTCTGCAACCTAACTTCGAGTGCGGCAAGGCCCCTCCCCACCCAAAACTTCGTATCATTGGCGGAACAGCCACCTGGAAGGGGAAGTGGCCTTGGCAAGTGGCCTTACTCAACAGGAACAAAGAAGCATTCTGTGGCGGTACCTTAATCGCGCCAGACTGGGTGCTAACGGCTGCTCACTGCGTGCGCCGTTCACTGCATGTCCTCGCTGGAGAACACAATATAAAAAGGCGACGGGGAAAGGAAGTAGCTGTGGCCACATGCTTCGTTCATCCCGAATACGATGTCGAGACGGTTGACAACGATATTGCGTTGCTCCAGTTAGAAACGCCTCTTGTTTTCAACAACTTTGTGGGCGCAGCGTGCCTCCCTGACGCACCCCTGTCTGCTGGAGCTCGTGGTACCATTCTCGGGTGGGGTAAGCTGAGTGATCAGGCTGTAAATGGGTCGGAGATCCTACAAGAGGCGCAAGTTCCAGTTATCCCCCAACCGGAGTGCCGTGACGTTTACTCTGAATATTTTGTCAGTCAGAATATGCTGTGCGCAGGCTACAGGAGAGGCCGAATCGATTCATGCGCGGGCGATTCGGGTGGGCCACTCCTCGTTCAAAATAATAAAACAAAACGATGGACGGTTCAAGGGATTACTTCGTTCGGCGAAGGCTGTGGCCAGCGGCCCGGTATCTATGCACGCGTCGCCAATTACGTTAGCTGGATACGGGAAACGATTTCTACATCATACAGCAATTAGGGAAGATGAACTCAAGACATAATCTGTGGCTGCGAAAATAAGCCAGCTGTTGTGATTGTACAGTAAAACGTGAAATAGGTTAGCCCAAAGAGGCCAGTTCGACCCTTAATGGCGTCTGGATGCTGGGCCAGTAGTTTTCAACAGGGGATTAATTGCAAGCTTAATAAGTGTGAGTGTAAAATGCATAGGTACATTTGATGACGACGACGACGCCTGCAATGCAATCGTTTGTGCCAGCTAACAGCTGGTAGGATTCAATTATTTCTAGTCTGCGTAGCCGTAAAAAAGGATGAACGTGTATAGTGTATATCGACCTTAACGGGTGATAAAATGTCGTAACTTATTTAATTAGTTTTACACCATAACAGTTGCAAAATGCTACTACGGCCAGACGGCATTGAGAAGCTTGGTCCGTAGTGGAGGGCCTGTGGAATAGAGCAGATAGTTCCATAAAGGTAAAGGATAGGTAGAATAGAGATTATATGATACAAAGATATATCTTAATTATTATTCAAAGATGTGTTTAAAAGAGAGAGTTACTTATACTGGCGAAATAAATTCTAAAAAAATATCTAAAAACATAGTAGAATTATTTTTATTGCTCGAATAGCAGCAAAATGCCATAACTAAAACTAAGTATATATTACGTTTCGAATAAAACTATGAAAGTCCGAGCTAGGTTTGTCAGGAAATCTGTTGATCCGCTTTGAGATTATTTTGTTTTTCACACCGACCTCTATTTGGTACAGGGGTGTCATGTATTCCAAAAGTCAACTTCAGGAGTCTTATTAACAAACAGCAAACGCTTGTTTGTATCGCATTAACTAACTGATATGGGGAAAATATACATATGACTGTTTTGGCCCTTGACTTCATGTCCTCAAGGCAAATTAGAAATTTGGAATCTACAAACGCACAGAACGCGCGTACCAATCTACGAATAAATGCGAGAAGTGTCAATCAAATCCTGTTTATTGTTTGTATGCCATTGCTGTGGTTAGTGAACATTTATCTATCTGTATCTTCGTTGCAATCGCCCATATCAAATAAGTCCTTGGTTCCTTTTGTTTTATTAGATCAGGCTGCACTTACCGTCACGGTTTTTCGTTAATCATATACGATATCACGGGTGCCTGAAATCATCCGTGTATTTGCTAACGTATCCACTAAAGGTCCGACCTTACTATTCACCTTCAGTTTATCATTGATTGAATTGATCATGATTAAAAAAAGGTGTTTCTTGATTTCATACCAAGTGACCTTCCACACGCTTACCTATAATCACTTTAAATCGATAGCTGATTATTGTCCGAATACAGAACTATTTGTTTTTTTGATAACTATGCAAAGTTGCACATTACAACTTGTTTGTTTGTTTGTTTGTTTGTTTGCTTGTATACGTACTCACAGAAAGTTCAACTTTTTTTTCTTCATCTTCACAAGAAACTTCAACAAGCTGTATAGATGAGTAAATTAGCAGCGTATATTTTAATTATTATCGTAAAATGCTGTTCCATCCGTATCCGTTAAAGCTGTGACTGTTAAACTGTCGCGTGTATACACAGTGGCTCCCAAAGGTATTCTATTAGAATGTTGTTTTAAATAAACCTGACTGAGTGGCAGATCAGCGAGTAATAAAGATGTTCCGAATAGGCAATACATACTTAACAATGCCCAGTAAAGAATAAAGCATCAGAAATGTAAACCGGCAACAAACTTTAAAGAAAAGTTATAACGTATTCGCGCGCCGGCCAAATCAACTTAATTTGGTTGCACCATTTATTACGATAGATTTAGATAATTACGATTACGGAGAACTGTCTCTCGAACATAGAGCCTCACCCTCATTTCTTTTTCCTTTTTCTTGTGTTTAATAGATAACACAATGCAGAGTGCAGTTTGGGTGGCAGAAAGTGCTGTGACCATATGAAGGAGATGAATCATTGCGCCAAGTGTATGGGGAACATTTTTGACAATGGGGTTAGTTGTTCTGAAATCTTTTGAGAAGACAGAGGCTACTTCGAGGCTTGACGTTGCACGACCAAACGTACTCGGCCATCACACTTATCGGGTAGAGAGGTTGCCGAAGGATATCGACAAACCGTTTTTGTAACAAATGTTTCCACAAAAACAAACAGATACGGCAAGTTCTCTCGTATGAAATTTTGAGTAAATGTAGAATCCAATAGAAAGCGACGAGGCATTGCAGTTCTAAAGCGCTAGTCTTAGCTCTCGTAGGTTCAGCCTTATGAGCCTTTTCGTGAGTTTTAAATTTTGTTACATGTAACCTAACATTCTCTGTATTTGCAATTTTTACTTATGTATTAAATAGTAATTGAAAGTTGGCGGCGGTTATTACTTTCAAGGATAACATTTGGAGCCACGTTTGTGAAGGACGCATGGTGTTCCTTTTTAGCAATTCAGTTATCCTTTGAGCGTTACGTTGTTCTTTTTAACACTTTCTATAATAGCAGACTGCTCTTAAAAGGACCCTCGTCATTCCTAGCTTGTCAAGATATTCATGTGAACCTTTGAATAACTAACAACTTCATGGTTAGAGGTACAACTATTTTTCCTCGTCCTCTAGTCACAATCTCAAATAATGAGTTAATTGTTTTACTAATAATAATAATAAATGAGTTAATTGAAACGTCTATCGGCTTTGTTGTCTTTTTCCCTACGATCGCTATACCTGTTCATGTCGTGTACTGCACCGTGAAAAAGAAGCTGCTGGCCTTTATGTTTGTGTGACATTTCCTCATGTATATTACACTGAATACAGAAATAAACCTCTTAAGGGTACTTTTGGCTACCCTAAAGGACCTTTATTAAAAAATTAATATTTTTTCCAATTAAAGTGTCTATGGAATTCTAGAAGGCAATTATTGTTTGCTTGAAAAATAGGTGCTTCATTTTAAATTAAAACTGCCGTTTATCGTTCAGGCGAATTCGTCTGAAACAATGGAATGATCGAATGTTTTTTGAGATCCCTATATATCGTGTGGCATCACTGACATCACTTTCTTCAACTGCTTGATAACGTTCATCAACGAAATTTGCCTTTTTAACAGGAAGCTTGTTGCACTATTGTTCCGGTCCTGAATCTAGTTTGGCAGTGCTTGATTCTTCGTAATTCAGTTCGGGTGCTCCGTGGAGAGATCGAACACTTTGCTTTGTTGAAGCCTTTTGTCCTTGCAATAGGCGCAGTACGCGTCGACCACAACCCGGCCAATAACGTCCAGGATACTCCAACAGAACAGGAACGAGTACCCGAGGTACATACCCATAATACTGCCGATGCCGGAAATAAATTCATGCGAGTTTATCTTTCCTACCTTGGTGCGATTATTAATTAGGTTCGATTTCATATACACGTACACCTGAAAATTAGCACAGATCGTGATTACTGCATGAGCTGGGCTGCTTCTCCAGTCGTCATCAGTTCTACATGTGGACTCCGTACCGATTCTAGACATGTTGGCACACAGCCTGCTTTTTCCGTATGCTACAAAGCATTGGATGAATGGGAATCTTAATAACTGAAGTTAGAGGCACGTACAGAGGTATGATTGGAGCGGCGTCTACCGCTTGACTTTACTAAATAGCGAACGTAGCAAACTATAGCTATGCTGCCCCCGTGCTGTTATTTAGATTTGTATATATATAGTCAACGTTGTGGAAGGCTTACTGGCATTTAAACAAAGTAGCCAATATGGTTCTTTCGTTCAGATGTAATCGCTCGCATTGGACACACCGATTCTGTTCTCGCGATGCGTCGCGAGATTGATGTCTGGGATACATCCCATGCATATACTGATCACAGACAACCCCATACCGATCGCTTTATCCGAAAACGTATAGTGTCGTTGATGTTTACTGATCTTCGTGCGTTTTCTAAGCTACTTTGACAAATATATTGCTTTTTGTTTCAAATTTATGTGTACGTAGAAATCTAACATAATTACTTTGTTCATAGAGTAGCTTAAGTAACTTGTATTTTACCCCTATTATATGTGATTAATTAAGATGATGTTTCTCCATACCTGCGCCATTGACGTGTCTTTTGATTTACTGAGAGAATCGATCTGTATTTTCGGATGCCACGATAGAGAGGAGATGGTTTTGTCGAATCCGGTCTCATTACAGACATTGTTGCACTCACAGTCTATACTCCTGTTTCTGATACCTTTCTCAATCTCCACAATCTCGGCCTCACGGTCAGGACTACAGATTTCAAGTCGAAGATCGGAATATCCGCCTTCGCTCGACTCGTTTACGACTCGCAACATCGGGTACTTGAGTGACGTACACCGGAGCCGTATTTGAACCATGTATTGATGACATACGTTGCGGCATTCTAAGGCGGTATACTTATTGCCTTTTTCAACTTTGTCCTTGAGGAACAATGGCCAATCAAATCGACACGGATTTTGATAGGGCTTCGCCAGCCGACGTAGCGCTCTCCTGCCCACACCTATTTAACAACAGATTTAGCCAGTATTTAATCATGTTTATCCAAACTTCATAAATGTGTGCGCACCATTGTTCAGTTGTAAAAATACAGGTATCAATAAAAATAAGATTAAAACAATTCGGCTAAAATAGGGCGTTTGCTTTTGTAGAGGAAGAAATATTCGTGTCTGGGATAATCATACAACGGGCCACGCTTATTCTTTACCATTATCAATATGACCTATGAAATACCAATGTTATTCGTTCAACCATCTACTTTTAGCCAGGCTCTAGGTAAAGACAGTTGTATCCCTACCAATGAAGGTGGTTGTTAGAGGCTGTATAAAGACGCCGTCCTTTGTGAAGTCTACCTCAACTCCTTGATCATGGATGGCAACAAGAAAACCAGCTTCAACGATAAAAGGTAGGTATGTTGCAACCTCAACCTTCAGCACGAGCAGAAGTCCGTTTTGGGGACCATCGAAGCTCTCCATTCGAATAAAGTCATTCGGAGTTCTGGCATACTTGCAGAAGTAGCACAGACATGTACCTGGCAGGAAAAGTAAGGGGAACTGGCTTTTGTGAATAGTTGCTTCAAGGGCCCAGATATAACAACATCCCATATAGTAGAGCTTATTATTATTATCGTTGTTGTTATTATTTAATCCATTCATTGCGTACCGGTCCGCGAACTGACGCGAGCAACTTAATCTCATATCCGCCGTAGAATGGAAGTTACTACTACAGTCGGTGTTTAGTTACGATACGTATGTGTTATCTGCGTCGTATAATAAGATTCGATTGAAATCTTCAATAGATTATTTCTCCTGTTTCCAACACCTTTCTCATTATCGACCTTCAGGCTATTACGACAAATCCGTTTGCAGTCGGATATGATTGTCCTAGGAAGCTACAGTAGCTAGACTACGTTCTGTCGACGTTGTGCACCACGATGGTAGCCTGGCAACCATATGGCCATTGATAATTCGAACTTCAATGTTGGCAAATGGTTATCGTAGCTAGCATAATTTCGAAAATAATCGCTACGCACACTGATATGTACGTAACAAACTATTATATATTTACCATATCGTGGATATAGCTTAATGTCCGGAAGGGGATTCTTGCGCTTGTAGCGTATGCATTCCTGCCTCTGATATTCATTTGTGATATTCATCGGGTTTGCTTTTTTGTTCGCGCAGGCGATCAAAAAGCCATTATCAAATGTTACCAGTTCCACCATATCAGTAATGTTGTGGGAGATATTTTGCATTAGCGACCTCGTCGGCAGGTTCCTACAGTTCGATAGGGGGCAAACGGATTACGTTAGAACGGAGAACGCTAGATCTTCAGCAAACATTTCCATATGATCTTATTTATGTTTTATGAAAGTCGCGTAAGTGATTGCAGCCCGATAGTCGATGCATACGTACCACGCGGTCAAGTGATATGTTTAGTCGTTTGTAACTATCGGGCCGTACTAAAAATTGTATTTAATTTATTGCCTAATTTTATGTCTACTGTTGCACATTTGTTGAAAACGTGTCTCGGCAACTGCACATTATCGATCTAGCTTGCAGCTGTGATAAAATCATTAATTTAAATAATATTTATATATGATAATTAATTAAAAACTAATTAATAACAGTGAATTGCTTTTATTTACGTGTGCTTACCTTTGTAGTATACCAGACCACTCAATGAAGTGCTGCATTCGCCTTGCGTACTCTTTTGTAAGATTCCATACGGGAATACGCTCCTCGGCCTGTCTGGTACCCCTATTGCAATGTAATTTTTTAATTTTCCGCATACTAGCTGTTGTCTTGTTGGACACTAGCTTTTCGCTGAAATTCAATTTTCATCAACAGAGCGTAAAAAAGCTGGACGCCAGAAATAGTAAGAATCAATATAGCATAAATGGCAAAAGTGGGACCATTTTCAACACAAGTCCGACGTTGCGGGATAGGACAGACGTATCGCAGATTCTTGTTATTCGGAACTAGATAGGACAACGATGTTCAATAAGAGTAAGAAATGTGCCTTTGTTATGCCTTCCTGTATGTTAAAGAGACGATCCTTATACTACTCAAGTATATACGATTCAACTAACTGTTATCTCGTACGAACAGGCGCTAAAGCAACGAAACTTTATCCTGTATTTAGAAAATATCTGCTCGAGACTTTTGCTGTACATCTATTCGATCAATTTATATTTTTTTTTTAGCTTGAGATTTTAGAAATCCATTCAAGTTTAAAGCCAGTCTTATCAAATACTCTGTGAAAGATTAAGCTTAGTTAAGAATTAAATTTTGTTCTCTCTTCTATAAATGTATACTCAGGTAGTGATTGTTATTATGGTACAGGTGCTATGTAATGCAGAAGCATCGCATGTTGGTCAAAATCGAACCGGTCATTTAATCAACTAACTTACTTTGATCTTCTCTATGTTGTCTTCACACTGGTTTTTCGTTCTTCATCATTGTCTAAAGAAAACACTAGCGCTAAATAGATATTTTGAAAGATCGAGGTTTTTCTCGTAAAAAAACAAGAAATGAAAAGTAATCGTGCGGAATGTTACTCTACAAACAATACAACTCGGGTAAATTTCTCGTGATGTTAAGTACCCCGTATAATTTCCGTATCATAACACTTTCCAAGCTGCGGAAAAGTTGAGCTCTCAACGCACTAACATGTTGGTGTTAGAACGGGGATTTTCTAGCTCCATTGAACGATTCGTTGAACGGGGCAGCCTGAAAACATAACATAGCAAGTAACGAAACGACGTGCGTAATTCCCAATGCAACTGAAGTCTTTACGTGTAATCGACGATGCGTCGCTGACGTATGATTTCAATACTCCCGAGCCGCGTCCCAATGAAGACATTCAATGCAATACTGTTTTAAGCCGCATTGTAGTAATTGTCCGTCACCCATCGCTGAAGCCACGCCCGTCTCGTTTTGAAGATTAGCAATTAGATCCAGCTAGACATGGCTAGAGCAATCTATCACCAATACCAATCAAGATGTTTCAAACGCGTGTGGCAAACAGGCCATGTTCTGATAAATTTTAAGGCTCAAATTCAAGTTTTGCGTATCAAGCTACTCTTTACAGCTAAAGCTATACATAAATCTTAGCCTATAAATTACTTAACCAAAATCAATGTCACCTACCTAACACTGAGTAACGTGTCAATGTTATCGCAGAACTTATCCCATTTATATGGATTCAGATTGCATATGGTTACAGCTGGCATTGGGATTTTCTGCCCACCTTCCGGTTCTTCATATTTGATGGTTAAACTATCGGGGTACCTGTAGTATTCAACGGCCAGGTTGATGATATCGTAGATAGTTAGGCCAAACAGAGCTAAAAATACTACAAGCCATGCAATGCGCCGTCCCGGACTGCCAAAGCCACAGATCACCTTTAAGCCTGGCAGAGAGGAATCCATGAATGAAAGTCGCAACGCGGTCACCTGATCTGACAGCCATCGCGGTGCCATAGTGTTAATGCTACCTCACAGAAAAACGTATGAATTAATGTATCTACAGGCTTCAAGCGATCCCGCGCGATATTCGTTGGTTACATCACAACTTAAACCGCACACAGATGATTTTTGCAGCATGGTCCCGATATCTCACAGTTTGCTATGCAACGAAAGCCCACAACATGCGTAACCTTCGTCTTCGTTTAGACTTCGTTTAAACCATGTGGAGATCTATTAAACGTTGAAGGTACACACCCGAAGCCATTTCTGAATAGTACACATACGACACTATAATACTAACGCATATATTGAATGTATTTTTTAACTAACAAATATGTTCACTGTGCCATATCTAACACACCAACAATAGGTACAGGTTTATATTCGAATCGTATACGAAAGTTTCTTAGATGAGCTGCACAACCATGACCGCTGCATACATTCTATTATGGCCCGCGATCGGACGGAGTTCTGTGATCAAATATGCCTAGTTGTTAAACAGGACCGTTTCAGGTCATCTGATTTAGCTCTACATCCTGTATTGCTACCAGCAATGTATTACGCTACAACGTAGATTTCAGCTGGTTTGAGGTTCAGATAGGGGAATTGGTTTTTGGCAGCACCACATCGAAGGTTAGCTTGCTTTACCTATAATCACTTCAGTCAGAGTCCGCTCCGATCAGTCACTGCGATCAATGACGGAAATTCCTATACCCAAGTTACATTCGAAGGCGGCGACCGGAAATAATCCCAGCTTATGCACTCATGCGGAGTTAGCGTTGAAGCTGGGCTTTGGCGTGCACTAGCCCATATATGTAATTTAAGTCGATAGATTTCGTGCGAAACTCGCAGGAAGAGAGGGGCGGCAGTGAAGAAAGGACTACTGCCTTTGACAGCGATAGCATACGTGACTTTATAGATACTGAAGCGGCCACCCTTGGCGGATCAACCAACTAATTCCCAGATGCAATAATATATTATAAGTAAGCAATACTGGAAGCTTTCGTCAAAAACGAGAGACGAGTGGTTTCGTCAACTGCGGCTTTTAAGGAGCATCTTTTATTGTTGATTTGTTACAATATGACGAAGTAGTTGTATCCTAACGTTTAACTGAATTCAAATTAGGATCCTGTAATTCAATCGAGATGTAGAATTTCATACGATTCAATAGGCTTGGTCCACAGATACAGTTCTCCAGCGTAGAAAAATCGTACACGAGTCATCTAATTTTATAGAAAAAGAAGAACGCGCCCATTTATTTAGAACCGCTTTGTCTAAATTACAGACATCTGCGCAAAGGCTGAGGGTCGTCTTTTACTGAGTCGGATTACAAGATAAATTTATCTATCAGGGTTTCTTTTAAATTGAAAACACAACAATTATTCATTTAAACATCGGACATTTATTTAACCGCATTATTTAAAAATGTTGGACTCTTAGGATTGATCTGTTCCGTAAGTCTAACATGGCTTTCCGTACTCTCGCTTTTATGTAAAATTCTCAGCCAACGCCGCGTTTCTAACCTATACCCAACCACATTTTTATAGAGATAGACCATATAAAAGCAACACCTTTCCTATGTAGGCTTGAAACAAAATACGATTGTGTCGGTACAGTTTGTTCATTTTAATTGATTGCTTGAAATCGCGACGTAATAACAGGCCAACTACATTGTCCCTTTTGTTCGTGAGCCACCCACCCGACGCTTCAGTTACCATGAATGAATGAATGAATGAGAACGCGCGTCTATCGGGAACAGGATCGTTACAAAAAGGCCAATCATACTACGTCGCATCTAAATCCTCTTCCTAGTAACATATAGAAATCAACCGAATCTCGCCAATATTTAATACAATTGCTATTTGTAACATCGTATCGTGTCTTTGTTTCGACTTATTAGATATGTTTTTGGGTAGATATCAGCATTTTAATTATCGGTATATCGTCATCGTTATATGTGAATGATCCGACTCTCAATAGATAATACAGCGGCAATACCCTTTTGGTCATTTGGCCTGTTTTTCTTTGTTCGGATACCAGTTGCGTACCACACGTGACAGCTGTTCGATGGCGTCTTCCTCTTGTGGTCGCTTCAACGCGACCCATAATGTCATGTGGTCTACCATTGTCCAGTGACAGCTAACACTGTGAAGAGATACATCAATGACGCTAAGTATCAATTCTTCCCTGACTGATTTTCTGTTGCGGGTAAGGGGTGATATCGGACGGACCGGTCGGTAGCCCTAAACAGTTGTTACTTTGTTCACATGTCGCAAATCTGCCTACCTGCCTTCTGGCTCGTTTGGTTGTCTCTTTGCTCGGAGCTGCGTACTCGACGGTCAGGCAATTGAACGACTGCGGGTAGACAACTGAGGACCGTTGAAAATAGTGAGTCTTCACTCGGAAGAGTGCCTGCAAATGAAACAACGGTCAGCACGCAAGAGGACGGCACGCATGACAACAGCAGCAGCAACAACAACCACCACAACAACAACAACAACAACAACAGCAGCAGCAGCAGCAACAACAACAACAACAAGAACAACAGTAGCAGCAACGACGAGAGCAGCAGAGACGCGACGGCCCGGATACAAATACAACGACATTAATCACGAACCATGGCAATAATAGCAGCAGTCAAAACGTTATTAAGAAGGCCTAGTCATCATCAAATTCCCGGGCAGAGGGTTAGATATGGATGCAGAAATATCAGAAATCAATGAAAAGGTCTTAAGGACCCGCCTAAGCTGTAATGGGGAGCTGCCACGGAAAACGTTATCATTTATTAAGACGTTTGCAATTACGGCACACAGATAGGGCAATTCAGAGGTGAATGGTTAGTTGAAGTTATTGCGTATTTTCGAGTCAACATACAACTATGCGTATGTTAAATAAGCCTGTTGTCCTTGTAGATGTTAATAAATAGGGGACGTTTATGTTCCATTCTAGCAAAGGAAATCATTGACTTAAGGTCGGTCCTATATGCGCTACGCAACATGTCAATGAGATACGCGTATTGATTTATTAGTTTTCCAGTGCCAAAGTAAAGGGGATATAAGCGTCGTTTGATAGAATGCCATGTGCTTTAATATGTTTTTATTATATAAAGATTCATTCCCATAAATTATCTAGGAAAATAGATCTATTTTCATGTTCAGTTTCACGAAGCTGGTGATGATCGTTCTTCCTCTTTAGTCGACGCCGTCATACACACGTACATACATGCCCAGGTCGATTTTGGTAGGCAGAAAAAGACAAGCAAATGAGCATTGCTACGCCACCCACGGCGCACAGAACTTGATAGTTCGGCCTTAGGCCTTAAGCTCTACATGTGATTACCAAAGAAGAGACAAGCATGTAGGCCGACATTTGATTACTCGAAATTAAGTCGAGGCGAGGCAATGCGAGACCAGCGCTTATGATACGCCCTATGATAAAATGAAGTCTTATCATAGCTACTGCCAAAAACGATATTTGCGACAAACGGTAAAATAGTAATAATGATAACGGTGACGCTGTATCTGAAAGTATAGTATACACATATCAGATATGCGGATGATAACACGAACACCTTACTCGTCTTATTGAAGCCACAAACATTTTATTTAGTAGTAGGGTCTGTTCGCTAAAGGGAGTCTATATCTAAATCATATCCCTTAGGATTTAAGTGAAAGCACTCGAACGTCGGCTAGTTCGATGTGTATGTAATTGTATGAGATTTACGTACAGGGTTTTTGGCGAGATAGGCATAATCTTCACTGTTAGAACAAAGAAATAACGGCGTTTTTAAGCATTCGCCTCATGCGCTGTTTGTCTCCTATAGTCTGTCTCGTAGTGTGTCTTCCAACTGTTAGGCACTAAACACGCAATCAGCATGCAGTGGATCCATTCAGGAGTATTCTGAACGGAGACGTGTATAATAAGGTGGTGCTAATGGTGTAGGGAAATAGCACAGAGCGATGGATATTTGTGTAATTGATTGTTTTTAAGTGCATTCGTGTTAAGAAGAAAAAAAAGAACCGTTTCCGCGAAATTTCTGCCGCGCACCTAAAAAGAGGGAATACAAAGCCTTAGATGGAGAACGATACCCCTAAAGCTGACAAACTATCCAACTCCAAACTTCCGAACAAATGTCTATGGTATATAATATATAATTGATAGTATAGGTGTAATATGTTACGAACAAAAAGCAAGTCATCCTTGTAAGAAATAAACAAAACAGGCATTCTTCTAGTACATAATACTCAATCGGGAAATAATTATACGAAAATGGCGTCTAGATATCTTTACCATTTCCACAGAGTCCTCGCGACAAGTGTGCTTATGGAGTGCAGCTGCAATTCTGCCTACAGATGTCCCTTTGACAAGATCAGCCGCCAAACTGGTAGCGGGCCGCCCCGGGGAGGCGCTGACTAAGAGTTGGCAGAAGAAGCAGGTCGACCTTGCTCAAAGAGAGCGTATCAGCGTACAGCGTATTTGTGAACAATCATACACGTGCTGAATAAACATTCACGTTCGTTCGTTCTTCCTTCCTTTCATTCAGCGGTTGGGCAGTCATAAACATTTCTACTATTTTTTACCCTCATCACTATGGTCTCTTTCATACATAAGTCTATTAGGCGTTGCGTAGGCTCGTCACGGCCCGAGCAGCATCCGGACAAGTTTCAGGCGAAGCGGAAATGACCAGAACACTGATGGCAATAGAGCAGGCACAATAGGCAAATATACTTTAGTTCACTCCAAATCCCATACTGTTGTTGCAAATAGCTGTAGAGGTAAAAGGCTGAGTGGGAAGTACCGTCGCCTGACAGAACCCCGGAAGAAAGCACAAGGGGATAGAGGTATTCCGAATGTACAGGCTAGAGCACCAGGTTAAGGAAATTAACGACTGTTGCAAATCAAAGAGCGTATCTTGACTCTTCGGGGCTTGTTGGCCTATAGAATTTGTCTTGCTCTAAACTGACGAGGTTATATACTAAGCATTGCTAGAATAGATATCCAACCGGGTGAGCGAAGTCCACAGCTTCATGAAACCCCAACCTCCACTTCCACCGCCTAGACGACATTTGGACTCTTTAGGGCGAAGCTTCTCGTCGACGCCCATTTCGTCCATCGACATGATCAACGGGCACCGCCGCTCGAGCTCCTCAAGCCACGTTTCTAAAATAAGTAAAAAAATTAAAAATATGGTGGGAAAATAATTAGATGTTGTGTTTTTCAACCCAACTAATAAGGGCGTTACGGATTTCTATTCAAAAGCTCATAATTGGGAACAGTGGCTATTGGTCGATCACTCCACATGTAAGCAGACTTGTACAGGACTTCTATATACAACGCATATATATATATATGTATGTATATATATATATATATATATATATATATATATATATATATATATATAGTTTAAATGATTATAACTTTAGTTTATATTCGAAATTAATAACTATTTATTTTAAATGTAAAATAACCTGCATACAATAATAACTTCTTCCAAACGTAGATGTTCCAAAAATCATTACGCTCACTATAACGGTATGCTGTTAATTCATAAACTTTAACAAACATTTTATTCTGTTTTGTGTTGTATCATTGATCGACCGTGTCTTTAAACTTTCCAGTGTCTTTGTCGGTTCTTCGGCGATATTTTAAGTTCGCCCGCAAGAAAAATCAGCCGGCATCAGGTCTGGGGACCCGTTCGTCTACCCGCTTGTTTGAAAGACTCATCAAAATACGTATCCATATCACAATAACGTAAATGTTTTTTTCGGTTAGAAACAAAATTTGCCGTTTTCCCCGAAATCTTCTTGAAAGTATACTATGCAAATTCTAGCGGCAGATTCATTTGATAGACCATTGCGTATACTGTTTTAGGATATCATACATATATCTCGCTTAAAAATGATCACTCTAGCCTTATATTTGCCACATCATATTTGACATCCTCGATGAATAGGCAAAATTTCCTTACAATTAGCTTAAAATTATGCTTTAATTTATATACAATATGCTTAAAATTTATTTACCAGTGGCAGTGAGTAGCGCAACGCGATGGCGCCTATTCCCGTTGAACTTCTGTTCTGACCCTGGTCACATAATTAATTTTTGGCTGCCGAGTCGCACAAAAGTCCTTGTCTAAAGGTATCATAGTATGTGGCTAATATCTAGGGCCGATTTTTTTGACGGTAATAAATATAATTTAAACCTGCTCTATCGTAAACGAACGTCCGCATAACGTTACCCTCATTGATCCGTAGCACTTAGGAAAATACTCTTTAAGTTACAACGGAAACGTCCCTGAAGCAGAGGATGAACTAGCGCGTTTATTGGTACTACACTAACGTAAAAATTCTTCATCGAAAACTCCAGAAATCAAACAAAGCTGGCTTCAGCATCTTTAAAAGGCATATGGAAGCAAAGATTTTTTCATTACGATTATCTATTTTGCTTACAAATTGTCCAGATCTATACAAGTATATTAAGCTATTCTTTCAAACGAGTTAAAATGGGTTCGTTATAAAAGCTTTTTTTCAAATTATTTTTTCAAACAAAATAATTTTTTTTGAAAATACCTTTACAAAGAGAGTTCGGATTTGAGAAAAAAAAATAGACACGACATACCGCACATAATCTTCCAGGGAACAGAGCCTCCAAATTCGAGTGGAAGAATTTTCGGGTCGAATTCCTTGTGAAGTGAATTGACGTCTGTATGTACGAACATCTGTGGGGAGTAACCGTTCATATGATTAGCGTTAATTCCTGCCTCTTTGCGACGGAACGGTAATTTTTTCTAAATTGTGCCAAGTGCCTAGGCGATTTCTCCTTGCTCGACAAATGGCTGATTGATATTTACGTGTCAACAAGACCTACATAGATATCCGAACATATCTACCCACATAATGCAGAATACATGCCTCATATCGTCGAGCCATGTTTGTTGGTCTCATTTAGAGAGAGAACTGCTCTACGAGAATGAGCTCGTTCTCTGAAATATTTATCGCATATATCAATGAGCACATGATATTAAACAACGTGTGCTTCGTTTCGTTTCTCTGCGTACTTGCCCTTTTTTGCAGTTTAGGACTAAAGAAGCTGAGCACAAAATCGGTGAGCGCAGATATATATCGAGGCACATTGACCCAATGAATGGATTTGTGCCGCATAGGGTAACCTTTTTCACCTGAAATCATCACCTAAACCAGTGATGTGAAGAGATCCAACGACAAATCAAAAAAATGATTTATGATATCGTATTTTCATACGTTCGCACTTCGTATATAACGTTAGAAATTTTTTCCATATTGACGTATATAAGCAGAACGACTTAACGGATATCAACTGAACATTGGTTGAAGCTGTTCACGCTACATTATCCTAATTATTTAGGGCAAAGAAGAGACGCAGTCGTACGATAGTCTGATCGGCCTCCGTCGTTATCGCCGAGATACAGCAGGCCACCGTGTGGGCTGACTGAGTAAACAAAACTCTGTTTTTGTCAGCATAAACATTCTTATATAAAATATGCAATAAACATTTTGAATTCAGTTGCGTAACATATTCTGATTTATCATGGTCCAAGAATAAATCAAATATTAATTTAACGCAAGGGGTCCCCATCACGGAATACTAAACAATTTTTGCTCGATTTATTTTCAAGGCTCCTTAGTAGCTCTAGTAGAAATTAATGTAATTAGGACGTAGATAAAGCAATTGTGACAGTGTCATAAAGAACCAAACAACGCAATATGAACTTCTGATAGATGAGTCAGGATTGACAGTTGTCCTCGATGTGTCCTGCGAAGTAACCAAATAATCAAAGTTTGGAAGAGAGGGGGTTACCCTCTGGACGTCGCGGAGGTTGACGTGTGCAAGATGATGCAGTCGGAAACCGCTTTCGTCGAGGATATACGTGAAGCCTTTACGCTGGTTAACTTCGTCTTCGAGTAGAGCTTCAAACGTTAGAGAAAATGCCCGATAGATGTCATTCGGCTTGTGGCGAGAGGTGTCCAATGCACCTGGAAATGAAATAAATTTTAGGCTGTTCCATAGATCATTATAAATCGCTTTTGATTTTTAACTTTTTTTTTTTATTTGCTCATGGGCAAGTGCTAGGCGGTTTGTGTCAGCAGGCTAAATCAGAAATAGGTCAAACATGCACATTGCTGTTAACTTGATTGTGAGGCGTGACACACTAGAAAAAAGGATACTCTATAATCTAAATATATTAAGTGGGTTCATAGGTGACAGCTGTTTTCAATAGCTTTCGATCTTCAATCTGTCGTCGGTTGATAATCAAACGTTATATAGCGGCATTGAAAAGCTCTTTCTTATGTCCAGCGTGATCATAAAATCACACTTCGGACATTAAGTATGGCACACTTGGTGATTCTTCTTCTTCTTCTTTCTTCTTGACATGTCCTATTTGCTTCCTGTCTAGATCGAAAAAGTTATCGTATCTGGATGGCGCGTACGATATGGGTACGAGATAGGTACGCTATGGGTATTACCATGATAAGCCTAATGCTGATCTAAAAATGCACTTCATTTCGCTAAGTAGTCGACTTCGTGAAGAACTGGTTTGAGTCACTTCTGAAGGAGAATGAACCTACACATCGTAATCATAGAGGCTGCATGTTATGGGAAAAATGTGACATGTACCTATTCAATATGTCCGTGTTTAGAACACCAACTTGAAATTGAATCTTGGAATCAAAGTAAAATGACGACAAGCTCGCTCACCTGGTCACTAGCAAACGAAAAATAAAGAGAAGGAAGCGATGCACAAAAATGGATATTGGCTGTATATTAATGGAAGATTACAAATCGTTGAAAAACACTAGTCTATCAAACTAGCGACTCGCAAGCTGTTGGGTAAGTTCTATAATGCAAGCAACAAACACCTGGAAGATTGGACTTGATGGGCAAAAATAGGAGTATTGAATTCTCTACATTTCAAAAAGCGTGTTCACGTTGCTAGCGCGTATTTACTTTCACATTCTACCGCTTAGGACCCTCGTTTGTCCTAGAATATACGATAATTTTTTTCACAACAGTCTTTTATAGCAAGTCGTCCTTAATAGGTTAAAAGGCCGACTTGTTCGGGACTGAGGAAGCTCATCGACATTCAGGTTGCGCGCGAAGGTATAGGGCAGTACTGTTGTTATTTATTTAAATAGAGAACGGTTAGCGTCTAGCTTTGATATCGGATCAGTTTGGTACAGGACTGACTGAAAGGCAGTAAGAAATTTTGCAATTAGTAGGGTAACAATTCGAGTGAGGATGGGTTTATAGTTGATAGGCGGACGGCAAACAAGTTGGCTGACAGTTCTTAAATGTCGAATGGATGCTATAATATGTTTTGTATTCTACGAATATGGAGCCACGTCAAAATTGCGTGGAATATCCGCACATAATGCAGAGCTCAGCCCAACGGAGCAGTAATGGCGCTACCCCTTTGAAGAATAGATCTGGGTATAGCTCATTCCTGTTGCACACCGTTTGCATATATCATATTTTACCCTGTAGTCACTAACGCAAGATAAAAAAACCGCAACGACTATTGTATTTTATATAGCCGATACATTACGACATGCGTAACTTTTCGATAAATATTGAATAACATATGTTGGGGCATATCCACCAGACTGGGTCAATTTGCGCTCGAATAATGACTGCAAACGGTCGTCGTAGGCGATATCAATGTATTTCTTTGTCGATGCGTCTACATAGCCCCTAGAAATAGTGTTGCATTTCCAATGTCAAAAACCTTGTCTAACATGGCTAGCAGTCACTGACAATCAGCAGTGTACATACGGATGTTAACATAACATAACAGCTTAAGCTTTCTTATGGTACAAAAACGTATTGAAATGAAGACCAGCCAATGCAAATCATGGCGACAAATAAATAATAATAATAACGAAAAAATCCTATAGCAATTATGAACCATTTATCTTCATTTGTGTGACTCTGACTAGTAACTACTGGTGCCATACTACCCATGTAAGATTCCTTACGTCCAGTTGAATACGAACGGCAGAATATAATTGCCGACGGCAGAATTTTAACGTTACGTAACATCGCGACAGAAAAGTCGGACATGTTTTTATAACTGTATGATCTTTCAATAGTTTTTTCCTCAAATGATCGTGCGACAGTGGTCACACGTTACTATGACAATCGCATAATCTCTTCTATAACAGTCTGCCGCCGACACGATGGTCGACATTGAAGACGTTCTCTTACCGTGAGCAGAAGATATCCATACGTAATACTAATTATAGTAAATTTGGAACAAGTGCCATCGGAGTAATGATATTGTATCGTTTGTAGATGTAAACTTCTTTGAACGCGGTGACAAATACCTAAGTTCATTTATGATATTGTTGCGTGTCTGCTTTTCTATATAAAGCACAAGGGGCGCCGGGGAGGGTTAAGGAGATAACGATTTAATAGAACTACCTTTTCCTCTAGGATACATGTTACATAATAGGAGTTTTTACGCAGAAGACAAACGTTATTATGGAAACACTCATGGTTAGACTGTTAAAAAAAAACCGACGGTTGGATAGCGTTAGGAAAGATGACAAAACGGACGTGGAATAATACCGAATAAAGTGAAATAATCCCGTAGCGAAGGGACAAATCACAGTTAATTATCCAATGTTCTGTGTACGACAATGGGAGCAAATAGGAAAGGATTCGAAGTGCAGGCGGTTTGCACGACGTATGCATCGGAATCTCCCCGCTATGTACGTACGAACATCTAAATTTCGCTTTGCTTATGTCAAGCTTATGTAGCCAGTGTTTATGGTATCGCTACCTGCCGTAAGAGAATGATCATCAACAGACGCATCGGTGACGAAAAGACTGGCTGTTTATTAACAGCGATTTTTATAACTATCTAGTACGCCAATCAATGTTATTCAATACCATCCAGTGCTAATCTTTCCCCTTTTAGAAATCATAATGGCCTTTCGTTCTATTAGCGTTGTTTTTTTTTTACTTTACTATTTTATTTACTGCAGTGCCATTTTCGCAATTTATAATAATAGCAATAATTATCGCATTTTGTGCAGCACATATACATGTATGTATAATATATATATATATATGCAGGCGTAGATAAGTGCAAACGACTCTGCATTTCTTCTTCGAATGATGGTCGCAGTAATTACGATGCTGCCTTAGAGGTACTGTCGATATAGATTTTTCTAATAACCGGGATGGTACTTATATGGGTAAATACAGCTTTCTTTTGAAACGCCTATATATATATATATATATATATATATATATATGGTTTAAGTCGTTATCGTGGTGTTTGTAGTTTTTTCCTTTGATATGGAAAACATGTGACAATGCCAAGGTGGTAATGGATAATAAACTGTTCACCAAGATACTGTAAACAGATATGATTTTGCTAAATATATCTGTGTATATACATATGATCAGCATTATTCATAATGGACGAAACGTTTAATTATACAAGCTAATTTCTTTCGTAGATGCGTAGGTGACTTATCTAGTGACTAATAAACCTAGACCTACTCAGGCACGCCGCTTCGGTGCAGCATAAGTCGAAACGTATTTGAAGGCTTATTACAGAGGACGCTTCCTCATGTGAGCCTTTGCGAGAACTACTAAAACGGATGATGTCTTTGCGTAATCATGTCGTTAATGTGGCCATCTTCAGGCCGCCATCACTATAAAAAAAAACTTTTTGTGCTGTATGTATATAGCTCGATGGAACGTTTTTCAGACACAAGGGTGGCCCCATGGAGCAACAGGAAGTTACTATATGTACCGATACCCGGAAAGGCAAGGTGAATGCTATATTAATAAAAAAATAAATAATGGACAAGTCAGTCATTCAACTTTATTAACTCGTTGGTTCTCATTTTCGCCCGTCACTAGGAAACTAGCCCAACAAAACCTGACCCATTTATCTTAGCTCTCGTCCCCAGTCCATTAGACCTATTCAGCTGACCGAACATGCTCCGAATTAGTCGCATTTAGCTGATGAACGACCCAGCAAGTAGAAAACTCGTCAAATTGATGCGTAAATTCGTGAGAGTTAAAACATCAAAGTGATTATTTGGAAAAATCCGACTGTTTAAATGTTCATTATCGTGCATGTTTTCCCTGCTGGTAGATGACTTGTAAGAGAGTTGCATGCACGGTATGCTAACGAAGGATGCGCGCCGTTATGAGCCCACGTATGCATCATAATAGATAGAGTGCTAAAAAAAAAAAAAAAGGCTCAGCTCGGTAAATGGGAGACAAAGTACGGTTGATTATCTAAGGTCCTGATTATTAACAAGTACTACTAAAAATACCGCTCATGGATTAGAGTTGTTAATGCATAGTTGGTGTTGTTATTTCGGGTTTTACGTCCAGTGACAATGCCGTTAAACATTTTATCAGCCGGCTAGCTTCCCACGCATAATGAAAAACGTCGACATACAGATTGGAACCTAAACTGCTTGTTTCGTGTCTCCCAAATTTGGCAGCCACTACATCGTACGATCTGTCCAATTTCCTAAAACTAACCTATCGATTTTGAATATGAGATACACTAATAGATACAAAGATTTGAAGCATTTCTACTATTTCGTTTGCACTTACCTCTTACTTCTTTGAATTTCTCCACTGCGATACGTAAAAAGGACACACTATTCGAAGGTTCGTGTAGTATTTAAAGAATAAACTTCTTTTAATACAGCTTTTTTTTTTTCAAATCATCAGGCGTCCTACATAAAAAAAGTGGACGCAAAAGGTATGCTTTTAGTCGATTGTCGGATCAGTAGTTACCTATACGGATGAAAAATGGACTGGTTCATATAGGTATTATTCTAGGATAGTCGAATCAGAGCTGAGGGATTTGCCAGTGGAAGCCAATATCCAAATCCACAATAGACAGTTCCTGATGTTGGCCGTGAACGCTGATGACGCTGCCCAAAAAGGACGCCGTTACGGTATAGATATACCACACGAACACGAAGTACGCTGCAGCCTGCAGTAGACAATGCCACGAAGCATGGCCCGTAGTGTTTCTTGTCCTTCGCAGATAATTTGGATAAGCGTATTATCATGCGATAAATGATGTGATAGATAAACATATTTTCCTCACTTTGTGTACCTCAGGACAACTATAGAAAATTTTCCTTGGTATGATTTTTTGTGTAGTGTATAGTGCTCAATGATCTCTGTCGCCAGAGTATATTCTTAAATGGCGAACGCCTTCGAAATTTTTTTACCTATACGTGGAAAAATCTCGTAAAAGATATTACCGATACAATATATATATATATATATATCGACGATAATAAATTTAATAGTTCTGCAAATGTTGACAATTCCTTTGTTAAGTAAAATGCATTCAATGAGGAGAAAAATGGTCAGCCTTGCGTTTGAATTTCGCAGACGATCTCTTAGAATATAAAACACCTGTAGAGAATCGAAAATAATAGCCTCTGAATAATAATAATAATAATAGAATCTGCCTCGACGGAGAGTGTGATGTCTGTGAGGACTTTTGCCAACACTGAAGTGGATTGTCCCTTGAGCATTTGATATATTGTCGTAATATCTTATTTTTCTTAGGGAGTTATGTTGATGAGAGCTCAGCGATGCTGTGGTCAGGCTATATTTACGACAGAACCGCTATTCTAGGACCCTCTTTCCGGTCAATTTTAAGCATATTCATAAGCACTTTATGAGGGCTTGGATCTTCATTGCATGCGAGCAGTAAGTAACCTCCTGAGCAAAATATTAAAACAAAAACTATCGCAGTAAATGACACCATTAATCATTATAAAATAACCCCTATATTTTACCATAACAGCTTGTGTGTCCCATCGAAATTAGGGCACAAAGGAATTTTTTGTGGTAAAAACTGCTTTTTCTCCTATGGTAAATTTCAACGTTATTTATAAGCTTTCAAGGTTTAGCCTTCCCGATTGTCCCTCGCTCGAACCAAAACGAATGTACTGAATAAAGCATTTTGAGACAGTGAAAACAGACTCGGAAAGCTGGATGGAATACACATAGGCAGTTTCAGCGTTATCTGAACATTGCTTTTTGGAGGACGATAGAGGGAACTGATCCTTTACAAAAGGATAAACAAGCGGACGTATTACTTAGCTGTGTATAGATAGTGAGCTCGAGCCTGTGATTGCTGGCCCAGAATCAATAATATGGACTAATATATTTTAAAGAGGAGCACGCATCCTTCTGTGTAGTAGACGGCGATTGAATAGTGGATATGAGAAATAAGACTGAACCCATTATGCAAACATGTGCGTCAGTGAAGCAAAAGTAAAAAAGACTATGGTCAGTGTGGGGCGATTATTGACACCCTGACAATGCATTAGTGCTACGTGTGCTAGTGTAGCATGGGGTCCAGATACGATGTCTATTAGACCTTTGAGACTATATCCGGCGTCTGCGAGAAATGTATGGCTTCGTTTGTAGAAACTTAATGGACGATTGTCATTAGTCTCTGTTTGGTCACTTGCTACGATTTGCTTCCAGAAATAGTGAAGGTTATATATAGGATGAGACAGGAGCTTTTTTTTGTAAATGGAGTTTGCTTTTGCGCAAGTCTACTATAACAATCCTTCGGTCCGTTAGAAAATAGATATGATTGTTTTCGGTGTTTGTGAGTGTCGACGAGAAGCGCCGGATGTTAAGGCGTCACAGTAGTAGAAAAGCAAAACAAACTAAGTCTTATGTTTCTCTTACTTATCTCATTCTTGAATTATCTCCTAGAAGCTACACTGATATTATTGAAATAGCTAAGAGCCTGCGCTGTTGTTAGTTTATATACCTTAATCAAGCCTCGTTGCGGTTAAATAGAAATGGTATTTTCCTTGCTTCGTATATGTTGGGTATGTAAATCCAAGCACTACAAGGACTCACGCTAGTATTAAAGTTCTTCTAACGCAACTTCTATTAATCGAGTCACTTACCAGCAAGCCCAAACACGATCGTTCTGCCTTCAGGATCCTTCTCCATTAGCGGGAAGAGATAACCTCGAGAAAGAATATCCCTTAAACCTTTATCGGAAAGGTCAGGATTCTTGAAAAATATAGGGTAATGTGTACGAACAGTCAGATACCGATCTAAAGTATCCTGAGCAGACTGGAGACAATACTTCCGTGTACGGAGAAATCTCAACAAAAATGAGTCGTCTGAAACATCAATAACATGTCACAATACAATGCTATATTTAGAAAAAATAACATCTTCATTAACCAATTACTCAGTCTTATTATGATTGTTAATTCAGTCAGAATTATGATTCTTTGTTTTACCCCCCCCCCCCCCCTACATTTCGCCCGTAGTTATTTGAGAGAACTGAAAAAATGTTAATGCTTTGTCATGGTGGACAGTGGCCGGAGAGGATTCTGGTGACATCCTTATTGATTCCCTAATAAAGTTTTTAGTATAGTTTTTTTTAGTTTTTTACTATAGGTATCTTAGTATAGTAAACGCTACCAATGAATGAAGACCCTTTTAATATGTTTAGGGCATTCACAGATGCCACTTTCTTTTGAACACAAATAAAAGATCCCCCATAAAATGCCGATGTTGGTTCAATTAAATGAGAGAGTAATATAGAAATTCATGAGATAACGAGCATAAACTAAGCAAAAATATTTGAAATCAATAAGAGATCGACAAGAGGGTCGTCCATGCTTTTCGTTTACTAATGAGAAATTAATTACACAGCGCCGTAAGTTTTATCTCATCTGATACGTTCCTTAAGATCATAGAGGAGTGCGACAGGTACGTTGACGCCATAATAAACGGCATGCAGACTGTCAACTTTTATTCAGTTCAGTATTTTCAAAGGAGTCCAACGATAGGTCCTAGTGTCATTTTCCAAATAAAACAGGACAGTTCTGCTTAAGTTGCACGGGTTAAGCAGGTTCAATTAAATCATAACGCCGCTCGTCTAGTCCCAATAGAAGCCAGCTCTAACTTCGGTGAAAACTCTAACGATAGAGTAAATGAAATTTTCTTTTTTGAACCTAGCAAGACCTATAATTGCTATATGATCGTAATGATATATATATATATATATATATATAATTTAGGTATATTTGAATTTATTGTATTACTACTGTTTAAAAAGACCTAATTCGAATGATTATTGAGAGCTTGATGATTTCCCTAAGAAAACATAAGACACAGACCTGTGCGACAGTTGACAAAATGGGGCTGCAATTTAACCCATTCGCGGAAATCCTGAAGCAATTTTTGTTTAAGCTGTTCATTATGCTCCTCGGACGGTTCGGCGAACTCAATCGCAGGATCCAGTGCCTCCTCAATTCGCTGTTTCTCCGCGAATCTTCGCTCTTTTTTCTCACGTTTTCGTTCTTTTCTAGACTTTTTTTTTGATTCCATTACACTGTCTCCGCCACGTTCACGACTGTCGACGTCGATAGCTGGGACGGCCACTTCCACAGCGTCTATTTCACCCGGCGTCGCCACCATCGTAGCGATAAACTTGTTCAAACGAAAACAACAAAAAGGACAATTATCTATGATGATTGCATTGAAGGCTTCAGTCTGTTTCTTCTGCTCAAACCGTCTGCTAAGATCACTGTAAATTTATCAAATTGTCCTTGTAGCTTAGAATCATCTGCAGTGCGATGATCTCGGTTCGAGAGCAGCTGCCCAACCAAATAATGCCCAACAACAGTGTCCGAGATGCGTCGACGCAGTCCACGTTTCGTATCAAGATTAAGAAAAAAATCTGCGTTAATCGTTGACAACGCAAAAGAACAGTAAATAATTATGCACCTAGACTTATTTATTTTATTGAATTTTTTTAGTAAGAACACTTTAGTGAACATTCATCTATGTATCGTGTAGATATTACAGATGTACGAGAGATACAGCTAAAGTCAATTTGAATCATTTTTTCTAACTAATGGACTAACGAGTGCCATATGGACGATCACGTACCGTAAGGATTAAGTTATGTTGTTACTGGCTCCGTGTTATATTCACATCAAGTCCTGGCATTAACTTAACGAGCTGCTGTTTATGTTTAGATTTACATGCTGTATTTAGTACTCCGCAAACTGCCGAAGATAATTTTTATATTCGAGTGCTTGAGACATGTCCAGGATTCAGGCCCAATACATTATATTGTTACCAATCAATGCCCTAGACACACGATGTCGTGTTTCCATAAAATGGTTCCTCTTAAGTTCTAAGAAGCTACAGCCGAAGAAAAGTGACGACTGCTGACAGTTAACGCGTCTAAAAAAATATGAAAATGTTCTAGAAACGCGTGCCATTTATTTGATGTGCCATACATTATGGCTAACTTGTGATACGGTGTTCTTCCCTCATTGATTTTGCACCAGCTAGACTACAAGTACGTACGTAGTGAGCAAGCTTTCTAATACAACTTCTGTAGTCTCCCGGGACTGACGTAGGGTTCTGTTTTGATAGGTGGTCCGAAAGCGCTGTGATCTGGTCGGTCTTAGGTGGGATTATTATCGTTTCGGAGGGCTTTATGGCGAAATAGGTTAACGAAGGAAAGCGCGCGATTGAACGGTACGCAATGACCGACAAGATCGAACTTCAATGTTGAGACACAGCGACGGTGACCGCGGGGGCCTAAAAAATAAATTGCGTAGATGGTACCCTGCAAGGTAAATTATAGGCGGATAAATGCGGAGTAACAACTCCTTTAATGAACCCATTGATACCTACTCTTTTTTGTTTTTCTGCATTAGGCGTGACCTTTACTTGTAGGACACCTACCTAATAATCGCTCAGCTATTTAGTTAATGTTACTGTACAGACACTCCGCTATATCTAGGCAAGGCTCACTCTCTTGGCATAAGCTTTTTAGACGGCGCAGTGTTTTACCGGTTATTATTTCCATGTAGTTATGGCCCATTAACACGCGGAAATCGATATCGTCAAAGGATTCCGTCATGTCCTACTATTTAGATTTTTGAGTATCTCAAGGAATATGTACAGTAACTAGTTTCCGTAGGCTTGCGTACGAGTTTTTTTTGCGTTGGAATACTTACAGAGAGGATAACCATCTATTTTTATATTTGTCGTAAGGTAGATGGGTGAAAGTTTGTAGATGCAACCATATCTGGCCAATTAAATGACCTAAAAATGCAAGTTCGCGTGTCTGTTACCTCTTAACTATGAAGAACTTAAAGTGAACTAAAGCCATTGCTGAGAAGAGTAAAGAATAGCTGAGCCTTTGTTAATACTTGTTCTAAATGCTTTGTGGCCTCAAATCGACTTTGGCTGTTCTATCCTTTTGATGACCACGCTTTTGAAGATACAGATAAACATGGTCTGGTATTTTTAAAATGCGACCAGTTCAGCCACGTCTTGATACCAAACATGTTTTTTAACTGTTGAAATGAAGAATTTATAGAAATGAATTAACATTTGTACAATATATATCGCATGATCGAGAATTGAAGACCTGATATTAGTCATCGTTTGGAGAACACGGTAGACTGACATATTTATGTTTCGACACATTTATCCTCTCCAAAAATTAGCTTGTTTATAACGCTTTTTGTGCAGCCGCTAACGGATAATTCCTTACCATGCATGTACGTGCATAACATACATAGTATTAATCCATCAGTAAATAACTTCGTCCGCATACAGATGGAGCCATGATCTGTTAAGTCGCCTATTTAGTCAACCTGATACGCGAAAAAAAAACATCAAATTTAGGTGTTTTAATAGGTCGAATGAGCCCTCGTTCTGCATATAGCAGCTTGCACAATGGACCTATGAATGTCAGTGAACCGTTCATCTCCCTTCAAAGCAGCGTCATGATAAACCCTGTTACTGGACGTCCGGCGCTCCTAGCGATCCACACAGAAAATAATGTCAGAGTGCTATAGGCTACAAACGATACAGGTGCTATGAGTTTGTTTTTATTTATTTTTGTCACCTTCGTCGTTTCTCCCCTTTTTTTACTTAATATCAAATTTGGACACTTCGCATAGATTGCTTAACCGGCAACTTACTTCTGAGTACGACTCGCATGAGGCGTTATTGCTTCAAGGTTGTTTTCGAAAAAAAAAAAACTATACTCTAGCCAGAAACCGCACTCGATTCTCGTGATAGAGAGAAGCCGTAGTCTAGAAAATGATAATTGCACAAAAGGATTAATGTTTTATTAACCCATATCTTATAAATTAAAAAACTTGCGAAGTTCTGAAACTATTTTCCAAAGCGAAATCTACAAAAGAATACAAATTTTGGATGGCATTTACGAGAACATAAAATTGGTAAAGCTACTTTATCCTTACATAGGTTTGTATATTTCATTTAAAACTTACCATTACTTACTTGAAATTGACCAAGAGATGCCTGAAAAATCCAAATCTAAGGCCAACTACATTATAACATGATAAAGTTGCGACTTCGCGTCCTTCTCCGTGTGTATGTGAGGAAATAAGGGCTCGCAGAGCAATATAGCAGCGTTTACCATTTGCCACACTAGGAGGTTACAGTTCGGAGCTACTTTTGTTTATCGTAAAAATTTACTAGGAAAATGAAGATTCGACACTCCCTGCATGGCTACGGTTTGATTTTCAACTGAATGGATGTGTTAATGGGTGTCGTTTTTGGGGCTCAGAAAAAAACCTTTGAAAAAGCTCAAGAACAATTGTCGAGCAGTCATCTAACTCCCGGACTATGTTGCGCGACTCATGGGTCGGGGATTGGGGCGAGTGTTAGTTCATTGTGCTTCCTTCTTCGAGATCGACGATAGGATAGTAGCAATAGCCGATGATAATACGATCTATCGTGTGCGAAATGAAAAGATATGTTTTTAGAGACGGATAACTTGCCAATATATTCAATGGCTGAGCTAGATGCACGGCGGTGATATCAGGCGGCTGTCTTGGTATTCTGGTTACGATCCTAGTCTATAAACAGAGCGTGTCTACAAAACAAAGGCGTGACCTTGAACGGCCTAATTGTAAGGGGACTGAACTATACAGAGCTGTGATTTACTGCCCGGGATTGAACTAATCCAAAAATATCAAAGAAACTCTTCATTGTTTCTCATTCCGGTGTTGGTGAGCAATTTCCTGCGCATTTGATAACCCTAATTCTTTCTATTTGTGATAGGATCGTACTGTTAGGCTGATAAGGCCGTCAGCAAGGATCACTCTCATTGCCTTTTGATACAAATGATACAATCTGATTAACGTAATCAGAAATAGTCGACGATTGACTGATAGGGTGTTTCATAATAAAAAAGAAAAGTGAATAATATTTACGATAGTAGAAGTACGATGGCTATCAGAAGATAGCAGTTAAGACTATTGTTCGTTATCGTTGAATTCAAGAAGAAAATTGATAAGCAGCCTCAAGGTATCATTTTATGTCAATTCACTGCGATAACAATGCGTATTAATTAAATACTATACCGTCTGCTTGTCGCGTGAAACGACGAGATAAAGCTATGACAGAAAGTAGTATCGCATCAATAGGCCGTACCTGGTGCGTGCCGGTTTTATGATGATGGTAGCTGCTAGCCAATGGCTAGCATTGAACAAAACGAACACAGGAAAGACGAGAAAACAGTCTTAACGATAAACCATTGAATAAGCAAGCGAATTATTCTTTTGCAACTTTTTACATTCGTCAAATTACCTAATGGAATAATAATTATTTTAGAGCAGGAACACCACTGTACTCAATGGATTGCCCTTGGAGTGTAGGTCTTCAGCGACGCGTGTTTCAGGACGAATGGGCCTCAAAAGCTGTTTTTGTCGTTGTTACGAGTTAAACAGCTCATAACCTGTCCAAGGCATCGGTATTATTAGCATAGTACCCTGACGCAGGCGGTGCTCCCTATCCGTATACTAAAATCTCGTTAAGGACACTCTGTCTTTAAAATTGTTTATTCTGATGTACTATAAAGTTCGATGTTTTGCTAATATAATAAAGTTTTAGGAATGATCTTAATTTGGAGCCAACTTAAGTCCAACTAACCTTAAGTAGGACACCTGGCTTTGTCGAATTTAGCAAATGAATGTAGACTTCTATTATCGACTACCTGGCCTCGTGTAGCTACAAGCTACTCAGCCCAGCTTCAAGGGGCAAGATCCATCATCAGCGAGAATACCAAGCTGTAGCCCGACACCACACCGATGCCGCCTCACCGTTGCCTGCTACCATAACATAATGCTACACACAACTGCGGCAGTAGCGGTAGCAGTAATGCAATAGGAGCTTTTAAGTTTGCGCAATACTTCTGCAGCTGTAGAGCCAGTTGCCCCAGCCTTTCTGGTATAGTCTAAGTCCCGATACCGTCTAAACCTTGACCAACTTTTATCGAACGAAAGAATGTTGTTTAGTCATTGTGAGTTGTAAGCCGTGAGCGGCAGCAGCCATAAGCTATCAGGACGATGCAGTACTCTGCGTTGCCAGCCTGACGCCACTGTCCTGTTTTCGCAGTGCACTGACGCCGTGCACGCAAACCCGCGGCT